TATCTATCTATCTATCTATCTATGCATCTGTCTCTCTGTCTGTCTATCTACCTGCCTGCCTGTCTGTCTGTCTGTCTGCTTGTCTATCTATCTATCTATCTATCTATCTATCTATCTATCTATCTATCTATCTATCTATATGTCTGTCTTTCTATCTCTGTCTATCTGTCTGTCTGTCTCTGTCTGTCTGTCTGTCTGTATCTCTGTCTGTCTGTCTGTCTGTCTATCTGTCTGTGTCTATCTATCTATCTGTCTATAAATCTATCTATCTATCTATCTATCTATCTATCTATCTATCTGTCTATCAATGCATCTGTCTCTCTGTCTGTCTATCAATGCACCTGTCTGTCTATCTATCTATCTGTCTATCTATCTATCTATCTATCTATCTATCTATCTATCTATCTGTCTATGTCTGTCTGTCTTTCTATCTCTATCTGTCTGTCTCTGTATCTCTGTCTATCTGTCTGTCTTTTTGTCTGTCTGTCTGTCTATCTATCTATCTATCTATCTATCTATCTGTATGTCTGTCTTTCTATCTCTGTCTATCTGTCTGTCTCTGTCTATCTGTCTGTCTGTATCTCTGTCTATCTGTCTGTCTGTCTGTCTGTCTGTCTATCTATCTGTTTATCTTAGCATATCTGAATTTCTGCCTTTGCCTTTGGCTTTTCATCCTGGAGTATAAAGTCATTAGTGTATGCACTGGTACAGCTGTTTTAAACAGGGATACACAATGTTATTGGAACCGTATCAATATTAATAGATAATTGCTTAAAAAGAATATTGGAATGAGACAGATGTTTAGATTTGAGTGATATTTCTTATCGATATTTGATGACGTGTTTATTGTGCTCTGGAAGAGCAGACTGGTTACTGTGCTAACATATCTTCATTTTATTTATTGTATTGCTTTTTTAGCTTCTACAATTAAGTATCACATTTTTCTGTTGCACTAATCCAGGTGGATCTAGTTCCAGTTTACAAATGTAATAGTTAGTAGTAATAAAGTTAAGTGTTTATGTATCGACATCAGCAAATGTGTACATGAAAAATGTACATAGAGCCAGATTTTCCACGTGTCTCTAGTTTTAAAGTCATCATAAATGGGATGTATTTGTGAGTGAAACACGGTCAGGGAGGGTCTCTGAGCTGTCTGAGGGTTTTCTGTCAGAGTTAGCTAGGAGTGGTGGAAGTGGGAGGGGAAATTATTGGTTTATATAATTTTGCACTGGTGCACAGTGAGTTAATAAAAAATCAGATATTTTAGACAAGGAAAAAAAGTCATTACATTTTGATTAAATAATCCCGGAGAGCAAGAATTTTGTCTTTTAAAGTATACAATGCAATGAATTGTGGTCAATGCATTCAGGAATCAATGATGTACGATTTGCTGTGCAAGCAGAGATTTTAGCGCAAACAAAGAATCAGCTTCAGCGCGTGAAGTCAAGCGCCAGCCTACCAGCACCTCATTTACATATCATTTCCATGAAGCACACTAATTCTTGCAGATGTGTTATTAGCGAGCCAATAAAATGTCAGCATTCAGTAGGTCGTGAGCCAGTGGGTGTGCTTGTAGGTGGAGTTTGAGGGAGCAGTGATGTCATTTTTTTACGATGGTACAATGATGTGATTGTGTAGTGTGATTGTTTTCCTGTGTTATTGCAGTGTGTAATATGCTTCAGTAATAACTATGTTATTGCAGTGTTTATTTTGTGGGCGGAGTCAGTAGTGTCAAACTAAAGCACAGTGTGATAGGTCTTTAAATGGAACATGAAGTAGGCATGACTTGACTGTATGCAGCGTTGATGAATAAGGACCAATGTCTCTGAATGTATTACACATGAAATATTAAGTAACTCAAGGCTTAAAGGGAAAAATGTATGGATGTTAATTAAACTGGAAGGAAGGTAATGTCTGCTGGCTAGCTGTCAGTCTGAAGGCCGAAAACAAAGACCGTATGAAACCGTGTGAAATCCAAAGAGCAAGTGGGCAACATGGCAAGACTGTTAATGTTAAAAGAGCTCCAGCGTTTTCTATTGTTTTCTCTAAGCCACTATAGCTATATTGTGCTGCTGGCACCTGTTCAGATTATTATTTTACACTGAATTCCTCACCCTTGCAGGGTATTACCTCTCCTAATAATTATTATCCCCATCTGTTTCAACCTGCTGTATGTTAACCTGTCATCTCACCTCCATGGTGAACTTTTAATGAAGTTTTCGAGCTTTCATTTACGCCAGGTGGAGAAATATTACACCTTTCCTCTTTCAACACTCTCCGGTTCATACATTTTTGAAATGCCAGGCCAAATTGGAATTTCTCTAGCAAAAAAAAAAGACCAGACTGACCCATCGTGGTCACTGATTAGTTTCTTTTTCTTCCATTGGCTGCTTTATGAGGTGAAGTTCATTGGGTGAAGCCGATGTCGGCCGTGCCCAGAACAGCAGGTGCCAGGAAAAAGGGATTGTTTTGGACGGTTAGGGCTAGGCCTCAGAAGCCAAAAGGGAGATTTGGGGGTTTAGAGCTCATCTGAATCTCTGCCTCACCTTTACCATGGCTGTTCTCCTCTCCTTTGGGTACTAAAGTGATAAGGCGTCAGTGTAGGCATCAGCACGGCCGTAACGACGTTCCGTAAAGGAGAAAGAAGGAAATATGTGCTAGCTAGCTGTCAGCATGAAGGCCACAACAAAGACGCGGGTATAATTTGGTCAGAGTATCTCTTGAAAATTTGTCTTCATGTTCTCCGTCTCAGTGGCCCACGGAGATTTGCTTAAATCAATGTAAGACTGGGTATTATTTATGAAAGGCTCATCTCGGAGAGCCGCAGTTTATTGAATTTAAGACAAAAATCGACCGGAGGAGTCCCCGGGGAACCGTGCTAGCTCTTCTATTTTTCTGGATGTGTTGTCTGCTTCCACTTTAAACGACAAGAAAGAGGCTAAGGGGGGGAAGCGCCACCCGCTCTTGTACACATACAGCAAAGTCTGCTTGAGATGTTAATGTTATGTTCAGTAAGCCCAGTCAATATATTCACAGAGACAATGCGTCTCCGAGCGGCTCTTTTTTTCCACTTCCTTTTAGACGTTCCTCCTGCTCCTCTACAGAAATAGCTCCCTTACTCTGCAATTTAATGAGCTAACACTTCTCACACAAATGCTGCACACCTTGAGGGCACAGTTTACATTTGGCATGGCATCTTTCAGTCATGTCTGGGTAGAAACGGGTTAACAGATGGAGCTCTGCGTTTTTAGATCACTCTAGCGAAGTTAGATTGAGTGAGATTTTTAAGTCTGTATTATATATGAATTCTGTAGCTATTGCTGTGCATGCTTGAAGTGCCGGACTGTTCCCTAGACCTGCAGTTGTGAAGCTGCTGTCCTGCGTGTTCTGGCTGTGTCATATTCCTCTGTCCGGGTAACTGTCTCCCTTGGGCCGAGGAGGACTGTATATGTCACTGAGAGTTTCGGAGATGATGTGAGAGTGACAGGAAAGTGAAGTTTACCATTTAACAACCTCAGTCTGCATGTAAGAAGATGAAATTGCATTTAAAAAAAGACCAGTTAAAGTTAAGTTAAAGGAAAGATAGTGGTTGCTTGAGCCTGTTAGTTTCTATTATACTGTATTTTGAGACATTGAGATTTCTGTTGTTTTCTAAGTACAAGAAAATGAGTCAACATTTCTGTTTATGATGGTCAGAAGTACAGTACAGATTAAGAGTGGGCGATTCGGCAAAAATAGCATCACAATACTTTAAGATATTTTTGTGACACACAACATGCATCACAATATTTCATTTTTTTTTGACTTGATGAATTCGACAAAAAGCCTCACCGAAGACACATTCTGGGAATGCATAGAAATTTTGGTGAATAACAAAAACCACAATGAAGTGTCCAAATCTAAGACTTAGCTAAGACTGGTAGTGAAGAGGCATTTAAACAGTTTGAGCGGCAGCAGATCAACAGTGGAAAAACAAGTCGGTTATGTGGGACTATTTCACAGTTTCATTAAGGGACATTAGACAAGTGATTTATATTCCTTATTCATCCTGTGTATCAAAAGGTACAACACCTAAGAACTTCTACATTACAGGTTTTATACTGTTTAAAAATATGACGTCCCACTCAAGACAGAATACAGCGAAACAGCAGAAGCAGATATGAAAGTTTCTGTGAGCACACCAAACGGCAGCTGTAGACGCAACTTTTGAAATGCAGAAAACATTCACAAACCACCACCACAGTGCAAAGAATAGGTAAAAATAGTGGAATTTACTGTCTTGGATAAGCAACCGTTCTCTGTTGTCGAGGATGCTGCTTTTTCGTGACACATACTGTAACCCACATAGTGTAATCATTTTAAAAAAGTATGTAAACAGTTTTGTCCTCTAGAAAGCAGATTTTATTAATAATAAAAGCGTATGTCCTTTAATACCTTGTAGTTTTTATGTTTATGTTTACTCAAAAGCATAAATAAAACGGCAAATTAAAAAAATTCCTTTCAGTTTTTGGTTTCAGATTTTAATGTGGTGTATCTTGGATTTTGGTTTCCGTTTCAGCCACGAATTTCCAATTGAATGAATCACTAAAAATTACTATGAAAAACTATATAAGTATAGTGACTTTAATTTAACATTTCACACACTGTACTGCTCCAAATCCAAGGACCGATTGTGCTCTCATAGTAATACAAAATGCACTTCATCAGTTTTTTAAGTACTGTTGATAAACACAGCATACAAAGCATATCATGACGTAATGTGAAATAATTTATCACAGTGATAATAAATTTCATAATTTTGCTGATCCCTAGTGGATAGAGATTGGTGAACACCTCTGGAGTTTTCCTCTAACCCATAACAACGATCTTCAAGTCACAGAAATAGTTTTGAAGCCTCTTAAAAGTGCTCAAAGTGCATTTGATTGTGAATAGGAGCTTCTATCACTGACCTGCTTCTTCCCCTCTTTCTCATGGCCTCTGTCTCTGTTTCTGTATTTCAGGATTGGGTGCTTTGCTGGTGCAGCAGCCACATGATGTGGTGGTGGTGGCGGGGCAGCCTGTGACTCTACCGTGCGCCATCACTGGTTACCATGGCATGGTGCTGTGGGTGAAGGACGGTCTTGCTCTGGGAGTAAACAGAGATCTGTCGGGTAAGTGACTCTCATAGGGATGCAAATTGTGGTTCTATTGGCCATCATTAGTCGACAATTACCTGCTAACTGGTAGGCCTGAAAGGATGTGACCTATCAAAAAAGTATAAAACGGACACTTCCAATTCTGAAATCTGATTGGTCGAGCCATGTTTGGTGCCATTTTGAAAACGCACAACTGAATTCTGTGTTAATGAATCAAATTTTTAAAAAGTGTATGTAGAGCATAGTATTACTAGGTGGTAATAAGCATGTAACAGCTGTATTAAACCATATTAACCTACATAAGGATCCCAAGGAGCTGATATCTATAATATATTCATATGCTAACGCATTAATATGTCATGATTTATATGAACAGTCACTAAAGTATTATTCAGTTCATTTTAATTCAGTTAAACTTTGTTGTCATTATACATATACACGGGTACAGTATAATGCTCGGAAAACTTTGTCTCTATTTTTGACATTTTTCAGTTTTTGGCATAATTTGAAAATACCTGTTACCCTTTACATTGTTTGTAAATTTCATGATGAACGGACTACCAGAAATGACCCAAAATGACTTGAAAAATGTCTGGTTCTATTGACTTACATTAAAAGTATAGTAGGTTTTTTCCTTCTACTGTAAAGTCATCATTTTGGAGATACGAGGTTTTCTTTCGACAACAGCGATAATGAAATACATTCAGGCTGCTTCCCTGGTGTATAAACATTGAGAGAAGGACATGGGTGGACATGTATTAGTAGGGTGACCGTATGTATACCTAAAAATATACAGAAACAATAAACAATAAGTAGACAATACAATAAATAGACAATAAGAGACACAGAAGTTTACTGGTGTGTAGAAGTGTATATACATATGCGCTGAATGTGCTAAACGTGCCCCAATTTTAGAGGTAATGTTCAGTAAACAGTGGTATGAATGTTATTTCAAGTGTTCAGTCCAATTATATATGGAATCAACAGCTTGGAATAACACTAAAGTGGTGTGTGTTTATAGTTGGAGTAGTGTTTGTGTTCATGATCGGGTGGTAACCAGTTTAACAGCTCGAGTGTGGGGTCTGAGCTGATACTGCTGTCTTCCCTCAGACATCGTTTAATGTATATGCCCTGTATGGGTGGGAGGGACTGGACTATATAATGAGGGACTACTGAAAGTTTTATATTCTAAAGGTCTGAAGTTATGTTTACCACTCATTATCAGCTCAAGTGAAAAAGGAATATAAATGCCATGCCTGAGGCCAGCTTCGGCTCACCGAACAGAGTGGAACTAACTGCCTGTTGCGCCTTCATGTTTACAATTCAGAAAAGTTCCTTGATTTAAATGATAAACCCGCCTTTTCAAATAGAAACTGTTGATATCATATTAGTGTTTTTTTTTGGCCAAAAGTGCAAGTCATTGTTTATGGTTGGTTAATGGCGCAAAGAATGATGCGAAGTACATTTATTTGCATGGTAGAAATAGGCTGTCCCTTTCATTTGTGTCAGTGGTCTAGTAACAATTATTTTGACGATCGATTTAGCGCTAAACATAAAAGTCGTATGCAAAGATGACATGCTTTGGCAATTTTCTAAGTGATAAAAATTCTGCACATTTTAATGCGAAGTTACTGTTTATTTGCTGGCAAAAAATAACTGAACAAATAAATGAAATGTGGCCTGTGAAAAAGTTATAGCACATTATATTGTCGTTGTCCAAAGAAAAACAAGTATCTACAAATAGTAACTTTACAGTAGAGGGCAAAAACACTCTTTAAGGTAAAGAGATTTTTTTTTCAAAAAGTAAAGTTTTTCTTTTGGTCCATTAATTATGAAATTTTCACACAATGTAAAGAACAGCTGGTGTGGTGAATTGATGTAGAAAAAAAATTGGATAATATATGGAGATACATGATACAATAATGGAGATACATGTTTTTCTGTGGAAAGTGACGCTATTTGTGATATTTTTTGTTTCATTATGTTACACTTACCAAATAAATAGGAATTGTGCAGTGATATTTGCAGAAAAAGGCCATATTTAAGTTTATTCCCTGTAGCGAGAATTTGTTAACCTGTTTTCACAAAAAAAAAAAAAAAAACCTCAATAAAAAATTATAATTTGACCTAAAAAAAGTTATAACATTTGCATACAAATGTATTTTTAGTTCTGTGGTCAAGATAATATTTGGTGTAAATGTCTGTTTGAACTCAGTCTTAGACCTAGTTAATATGTGAGTTCTCCAGTAGAATAAGATAAACCCCAAACATCATAACCCTTAGAAATTATAAGGGACTTTAAGCAACTATAGGCGATTTTATAAGTGAAAAAAGCTTAAATGTTGAAGAAGCCCTGCCCCTTTCCATCTGCTATACTCTGATAGTCTGCACCCAGATGTCTTTTGGTCATTGACAGTGGTTTTCATGAACGATGGTAAGAGAAAGATGCTCAGGAGAGCGAGGGGAATGCTCTGCTGAAACCATTACACCCTGAGTCAAATAAAAACCATTAGGCTGAATAATAAAAATGGACCTAATTAAACAACAAACCAGACATTGCTTTTCAAAGACTTCACAGTACTTTACTGGAGAAGGATAAATAAGGAAGCCTCTATAAAGACTTAGATAAAACATATAAAGACCCTATGTGGCAGAAAATGTATAGAAATGTGCGTTTTCTATTGAAGAAAGTAGATTTAAATTTAATACATTTAAAATATACCAAATAATCAGTGCTGATTCATTGAAAAGTGAAAAATTATAATGAATATTTTAATCGCGTCTAATCACTTAGTGTATAGCGGTGTTCTACAGACTTGAAGCTGCAAGCGTTCAGTTTAAAGTCAGTTTAAACTCCCAACTTTTCTAAATGTCTTCATATGTTGCTGTTATTGCAGCATCTGCGCTACTGTATGCTCCCTGTATCCTTCTGAAACAACAGGCGCTTCAGTCTTGCGTCATCAGGAACGCAATTGTCTGCTGCTTCTTGTCAGCAAACAGCTTTTTTGCATTTCGCTGTGCCACCGTTGCTCAATTAATGTCTGTGTTTACTTGTTTCCTTCACAAAGTGCCTATCCAACAGTGCTCGCTTATAAAGTAGCACATTACAGTGGAGTACTAATTGCATTTTGATCATTAATTAAAGCAAACACTTAATGTCTCCGGAGTTGCGGAGAGGAGCTGTGCTACTGCTTCTGCGTTCTACACTCGGAGGATGTGCGGTACAAATTAATTGGCTCAAAATGAATCAAATATCACAGAACTATTAAAAGAAATTGGCTTGCTATTAAAAGGACTGTGACTGTGACGAAAATCACAGGGAGCTTAACAAGGGTAAAGCACTTGCAACACTTAGATGCTCGCACAAGTACGTCTTTCATGTTTTTTTTCCCACTTCTGGAATTCTGCAGTCACGTTAAAGGGGAAATCCACCAATATTTCAACATTTATATGTAATTTAGTGGTTAAGATGTAAACAAAGTCATTCAGAGTGGTTTGGTGTGAAATGCTCTGTTCTAGAGAAACTTACTGAGTCAGAATTGTTTACAGAACACATTTCTTAAATCTATTAATGATGGAGGGATACATGCAGGGCATTAGGAGGCAAAATAGTCCCTAAAGAAAACATTTTTTTTTCTGATTTACCTCTATTTCACCGTCATCGACATTACAGAAGACTCGTGTAGGTTCACTGGTGGTTTTGGATAGTGAATAAAATGACTATGTTTGTATTGTAGACATGGTGACCCCTGGTTCCTATCACCACCACTGTAATCGGAAAGAAATCTGAGTCAGTAGGTTTCTCTAGATCGGAGCATTTCACGTCAAACCACTCTAAAACTTTTTTGAGACTTTTTTCATCTCAAAAATTGGTGGAATTCCCCTTTAAATTGTCCTATTGTTTTTATAAGTACTTTACACTGAGTCAGCATTCATTTTGCGTATGATACAGTGCTGCGCAAAAGTCAGAGAGGACCCTTCATTTATGTCATTTCCAGTCAAAACAGCCATTAAGTTCAAGTTATTAATTTCTCAGCTTCAGGAAGAAAAATGTTTACCGTAAAATTTCAAAGCCTCAATAATTAAATATAATGGGTGTGTCTCATAACCTAGTGAGCTCTCTAAGTAGCCGCTGTCTACATAGGCAGCTGTCTAAGTAGGCAGCGTTCCAACCATCATGTATCCTTATAGGGCAGATAAATGAGACGCTCTAGTTAGACAGCAGTGATGTCGCCGCTTGTTCCCGCCCACTGCAGGAGACCAGCGTTTACTTACCTCAGCCGTCAGAATCACAGTTAGCCAACATGGGTCCTGCTCTGGCTCTGGTGGTTTATATAGCGATTTTAATTGTATTTGCTCTGAATGAAACAGCAAAATAGACAATAGTTGTGGTCAAACGTGGAGAGTATAGGCTATTTGTGCACCTTTATGACTAGAAAACAGATAAATTCCCCTGAAAATCAGAATAACTTACAATTGAAGATGACGTCGCTGCTTGGTGAAGCGCTTCTGCTCGCCATCTTCAAACAAAAGCTGCCCCGCGCTGCATCGCGGGATTGCCTGGGCGGCTGAGGAAATAACCGATGCTCTCTCGATATTGGGCCAAAATGAGAGACCTCAGTAGGCAGCATATTTGAGATATCTAAGAATTGGGACAGCCTTCTTGTCGGGAGCGCGCATATTGTGACGTAAAATGCTGTCTATGTAGAGCTCACTAGGTTTTGAGACACACCCAACATCATTACAGTGTTCAGTGTGTCACTCTTTGCCTTTATTACAGCTTCCATTCTTCTCAGGAGACTCACTTTCAGTTCCTCAAAGAATCTGCAGACACGCCTCCAAAGTTCAGTCTTAGAAGCTGGGTGATCATTTTCTGAAGAAATCAAACACATTCAGTGCTGTTGAGGTCTGGACTCTGGGGTGGTCAGTCCATCGTTCTGCTTCTTTGTTTGATGTGTCCGTCTCCTTTTCTCAGTGAGGTTCTTCTTGAACAGCTACACATCCTTTCAGACCCA